GGGGAGCGTCCAGACTGCCCCGATCTGCTGACAAACAGCTGATGGCAGGGGCGGGGCAGCCATTTAAATTTAAATGAAGTGGCGATTAGTTAAATCGCGGCTTCTTTTCCCTTTGCCGAACAAACAAATCTACATGGCTCTGTCGACGGAGCCATGTAGTCTAGACGTACCCACCTATGATAATTGGCTATGCTGCTAAATAAAATCATGCCGGACCACGGATGTTTCCAAACCAGAGAGTGCGGGACTGGAGAGGTTCAAACTGTAGCTTCCCAGAAAACACTTCACACAATAGGTTGTATCCAGTGTTCCCCCTAAATGGCAGGGCAGCACAGCTTCACAGGTGATTAATCAGCCTCGCCCAATCAGTCAGCTCTGAGCCCCTGACTAGGCGGAGCTGATTAATCACCTGTGAAGCTGTGCTGCCCTGCAGCTTAGAGGGAACACTGGTTGTATCTGTGCTATATTCATGTCCCTCCAGGACCTTTTCATGTACATGGGAGACATAATTGTTCTGGTAGCAACCCTGGGTTTTGATGCCGCGGGGCGGGCTTTGCTTCTTTTGTTTAGGGCAGGTAGAACAAACAATACTGGTGAAAGCGCAGTGTGGCTGGTAATAAGCTACATCCGCACTGAGGTGCTTTGCCGACATACCTGTGCTAGCGAAGCTGCCTTAGTGCAAACATGGCCTTAAACTGCATCAGTGGTACAGGTTCACATGGGGGTGGCAGTCTTGCTTCGCTTTGATCCATTGCAAGACTGGCAGCAAAAAGTGATGGAGTTTTTTTGTACAAGGTGCCTTGTGTTGTCAGTCAGCATGTTCCTTTTACCGTGTTAAACAACTGGTGACCTAACATGAGGACTTTTGCCTCTTGTAAATGAATTTTCCCTTTTTTTCCCCTCCCCTTCCCTACTGCCTGTGTTTTTCAGATACTAGTTGCTGGCTTGAAATTCTTCCTTGGGAAAGATGAAGATGAGAAGAGAGAGAGTGACTCAGAATCTGAGGTTAGTCTGGTAGCTAAGCTCTTGCTGTCACTTTCTCAAACTCTGAAAAATGAGATACATTTACCTGCAATAGGTGTTATGTATCTACCCTCATCCCTTTTTGCATTTCCTTTGTTTCCCTCCATCTCTTCCTACACCTTGGGTCTGTCTCTCTCACCCACACACCTGTGGGCTTTATTTCATGCCAGCCAGAAAGAAGAGAAGGATTAGTGTGTGTGTTTGCCCATCCGTTTGAGGGACGTGGTCTCCTCAGAATATGTGCTGGTACTGTTAATGGGAAATAACCTGAGGGGAAGATCAAGAAAACGATCCTCTTCATGTTCAAGATCATTAAGGGTCACTTAGTCACTGGCCCGCTTGTGCAGTCGGGGATGGTGATCTCATAGCTGGCAGCATGTGACATCATAACGCCCAGCATAAGAATGAGCTAGTTGGAAAGACAAAAACATTTTTCTTTACAGACTGTAAGAATGTATTTGTTTCTAGCAGTGCCTTCAAGATGCCGGGCACTGCACGTTGGTGTAAAGCATCCATGGCCTCACCCTGAAGAGCTTACACTATAAAGTACTCTTAGGAAGAGTGTGATCCTTTTAGTTGTGTGCTGACCCAACTCCAATTAAAATCAGTCGCTCATGTGCTTGAGTGAGGATTTGGGGACTGAGGTCCGTGATTGTTTAAAAGGTAAACAATTACCAGAGGCTTCATGTAGACTTGTGATTGGAGGATTGGACTGGGGTTTGGGAGTCCACATTTTTTTTTTAATTTAAGCTTTGCCACAGACTTTGCATGTGACTTTGGACTGTCACTTTATCTCTCTTTGACTCAGTTCCTCATCTGTAAAATGGGGAGATGGCACATCTGTATTTACTGATGTGTGCTGAATGCACAGACATTAGCAATGGGAAGAGTGTGTCAGACAGTACATAGATGTTGTTAAGAATTCTCTTTTGGACAGATTAACTGACTTACATTAACCTAATACGCAGTCACTGCTGCTTCATCTGATCTATATACGGTTCCTTTTCAAGTATTGCTCATGAATTGTGTGGTGTTGAATAATACGTTCTATTGCCTCATCCCTGGTACCATATCTCTTGTTTTGTTTTATTGACGTGGGTGTCACCTGGTCCTAAATCTTAGTGTACGTCTTCTCTTTCATGAAGTCAAAATTTTAAGTATTGAAATGAATGTCAGGCTGGTTACATGGCAAATATTTGGAGATAGAGTGTATTGGTTTTGTATTCTTGAAAACTTGGTGTGCGACCCTGCTGACGATCAGCTGCAATGTCTTACGAGAAGCCATGTTCCCTTGAGACATCTCTTCTGATGTTCCTTTCCGCAGGATGAGGGGCCCACGGCCAAAGACCTCAAGTTGAGATACGCCACAGGAAAGAAAACCACCAAACACAAGAAGAAGCTGGAGAAAGCGATGAAGGTTTTGAAGGTGAGAGAAGCCCAGTGGGACCTGTTGGCATCGCTGTGGAATTAGCAGCAGAACCTAAGCGTAAAGTTCCTAGTGGTGGCTTGGTAGAATGGCAAACAATAGTCAATGGAAAGCTTGTAAATCTGAATGGGATTTTAAAAGCAGCCCGCCTTAACAATGCAGGGCTCCATCGCGTAGACTTCTGAAGATGACAGGTGGTTCTTGTTTCCCCTTTTTGAGACCCCGGTCCATCTATATGAGGTGCTCTCCTTTCGTCAGTTCGTACACTGGGACCTTCAAGATCAGAATTTTTGGGGCTCTTATCTGGTGTCCCCTCTGATTTTTGTCCCTCCTCTGAGCGGAATGAATTTTGTTCTGTGCACCAATGTGGATGGGGGGGGTGACACCGCCTTTGTGTGGGGGCACATAATAAAATTCATGTGGCAGGGTTGAGGCCAAGGGGGTCTGAGTGTGGGTGGGGGCTCAGGCCTGAGGCAGAGGCTTGGGGCATGAGGGCTCAGGGCTGGGACGGAGGTTCGGGGTGCAGGGGCGTGAGGGCTCTGGAAGTGGGTGCAGGCTATTGGGTAAAGGAGGGTGCTCCAAGGCCTCCCCCCAGTTCTTTCTCTCCTCACAGCCACACTAGGCTTGGGAGGGAAAGGCACCTCTGCCCACTGTGGCAGCTCCGGGCCTTGAGCTGCAGGATCGGTGCCCCTCCCTTGGCCCCTGCAGGTTCCAGCTGGGGCATGGGCTGGAGTTGGGGGAGGGGCGGCAGATCCTGGATCCAGGCTCCCTGGACCGTGATAGGGGACTCCGGGCTGGGATGCAGCATGAACTTGGGGGAAGGGAAGGAACGGGTGCAGGACAGGGGTGATGGGAAGGAGTAGGGGGCGGAGACTTGGGAGAAGAGGGGAAGTTGGCACCTGTGGTTTCCAGTGTTGGAGTAGAGCTTAGGCTATGCGGTTTGCATTGACTTTGCCTGGCATCACACGGCAGAAAACCGCACGTGACTCAGGAAATGTTAAAAAGCGCCAATGAACTTTACTATTTAAAATCAAAACACGCCTCTTAAAGTTGGCGGTGCGGCGTAGCCGCCCTCCAGAACTACTGTCTGGAATTAGCTTAGACCAGTTCTTCCCTGGCAAGGAAAAAGTGTCTCCTTGTCTCTTGCTCTCCCACAGAAACATAAGAAGAAGAAAAAGCCGGAGGTGTTTAACTTCTCCGCTATTCACCTGATCCACGATCCCCAAGGTAAGCGCCGTGTCCAAGTCATTTGAGATTCATGCACTTTGGAAACCCTAATATGTGTTCAATCCAAGATACTGATGTTCAGGCAAGTCTCTGAGGCTGGTCTACTGGACCGAGAGGCACTCCACCTAGTGCAGTCTATATGGCTTCGAGTCCTGTCTGTCTTGCTCAGCTTCCTGTTCCTGTTTAAATCGCCCAGCCCCAAGATGGTTTCACCCAGGTTGCTTCCTTGGCATCCTTCTACAACCAACGTTGGGGACTTCCCTAGGAGCCCAGCTTCGCTCCCTGTGGTTCCTCCTGCAAGTGGAGTTTCCTCTTTGAGGTGTTTCACGCTGACCCCAGTGAGTCCAGCCTCCTTAGACTAGGAAGCCGCTAAATATGGCAGAAGCAGGGCTGATTCAACAAGGCTGGCCAGCCCCAGACCTCTGGGCCCTTATGGGAGCAAGCCACCCTGTGATAAGCCTTTTGATTTCCCTTTTTGCTTGTTCTTCCTGTTTTGAGCTTTTTGTCATGGTTTTTTCTCCTTGGCGCGCTAATGCCAGGAAGCAGTTCATCTGGTGTTCCCTCAGGGTGAGGCTGCCTGAGCCGCAGTGGCTGTTTATCTAATGGTCCGTGACTGTGTTATTCCTCAAAAGTCTCTGGGGCTGAGATCCGGGAACCTACCCCGGCTAGTACCTCTCGCTCACGCTCCATGTTGCTTCCAGACTTTGCAGAGAAGCTCCTCAAGCAGCTCGAGACCTCCAAGGAACGCTTCGAAGTGAAGATGATGCTCATGGACCTGATCTCCAGACTAGTTGGGATACACGAGGTATGGAGCGAGTTAACGCCGATGGGTTTTTGAGCTCACCGATCATGAACGGTCTGCATGTGATCATGATAGCACAGTGGGATAATGCCCTGGCCTTTCACCACTTGGCTTCATAGCTCCAGATTGGGTTGGCTTCCTTTTATTTTCTAATGGGCTTACGTTTGCAGCCTCAAGCCACTCTATGTCTGGCACTATTAGTGGATCTGAGAGGGACAGCGGTTTAATAGTAAATGCCTTCCAGGCCAGGACAGGGAAACTGGAACTCTCCCTGCGGCTTTCGAAAGAAGATATTTGTACCTAATTTGCATATCACCTTCCGATCCTGTTTTTGGACAAGTTTTTTTTTTTTAAAAAAAAAGTAGTTTAGATGCGGTTCTTTTGAGGAAAAACCCCCCCTCAAGCCACTCTATGTCTGGCACTATTAGTGGATCTGAGAGGGACAGCGGTTTAATAGTAAATGCCTTCCAGGCCAGGACAGGGAAACTGGAACTCTCTATGGGCACATCTAGACTTGCTTTCACTTTCGAAAGAAGATATGTAAATTTGTGCTGAATTTGCATATCATCTTTTGAAAATGAAAGCAAGTCTAGACTTGCCCTGAGGCTATGTTTATACTGTGTTTTTTTTTTTTTTTTTTGCGGAAGAGGATATGCAAATGCCATGCTCATTTGCATATCTTCTGATTCTTTTTGCATAAGCGGTTTTGCCACTAAAAGGCCCCATGTAGACGGGGCCATTTGTCAAAATAAAAAAAAAAAACCTTTTTCGCAAGATCCTGTAAACCTCGATTTTTGAGGAATAAGGGATCTTGTGAAAAAGGGTTTTTTTTCCGACAGATGGCCCCATCTATGTGGGGCTTTTTAGTGGCAAAACCTCTACCGCAAAAAGAATCGGAAGAAGATATGCAAATGAGTGTGCCATTTGCATATCCTCTGCTGCAAAAAACCCGCAGTGTAGTCACAGCCTGAGAGAGCCCCAGAAGACGGCAAAATCAGATGAGGATGGAAGGCACCAGGCCAGATTTATTGTAGACAAGGCACTGTTGCCTATAGTTCTGCTAACACAGGCATGCTTGTTACAATGGACCAACTCAGCACCATGGAATTAGACACTGCCCCCTAGGTCAGACAAAGACAGCTCTTTGGGGTTCACTTTTATACACAATTTAAAAGACGTTGCGCATCACTCCGGGCGTATCTGCCACCTCTTGTTGCTTAGTTACCACCCCTTATCCTCGTACAAGGGGGGTTCAATTATGATCCTGCTGTTAGTTTAGACCCTGTCCGTACCCCAGGTCGGTATGTTCTGTTACCTGTGGGGGGGGGGGGGGTGCACGTGTAGAGTTATCGATATATTTCTTCACGAGATGTTCTGTTATGACCTCTCTGGAATGTGTTTGTGGCCTGTGCCTCGTACCTCTTAGAGATGAGTGTTTCTGTAATGTCAGCCCTATTCTTGCCAACTTTTGTGGGCAGAGGCCTGGCTGTTGTTCACAGCCTTAACCCTGCTTTATATTAGCAAAGTCTTGACAACTGTGTCTGAGCCTCAGGCCTCATACCCAGCCTGTGATACGTGGGCTTATGTTTCAGGCCCTCATCTTAGTACACCCAGCATTCCTAGTTCCCACACCTCTGGGTCAGGAGTCACTGAGGTGGATGATAACATAAAGAAATCACAGAATCGTCGTGCTGGAAGGAACTTGAGAGGTCATCAAGTCCAGTCCCCTGCTCTCATGGCAGGGCTATGAGCCTAGGATCTGAGTGCTCTTGGCAGTGTCTTCAGAGTACTGTTAGCATAAAGGGACCCTGTTAGTCCCCTCCCCCCGGCAGCTACAAGCGTATAGCTGTGTTGTATTAATCCCCACAAACACAGTTTATACAGTGCTCCGACTTCTCCTCCTCCTCCTGTGGATCAAGGAGAAACGATGGGCCCTGCAGCCTGTCCTGAGCATTGGCAAACGTGGGCGCTCCTGAGTGTGGGAGGGGAAACCTACCTGTATAGGACCCTGTTAGTCCCCTCCCCCCGGCAGCTACAAGCGTATAGCTGTGTTGTATTAATCCCCACAAACACAGTTTATACAGTGCTCCGACTTCTCCTCCTCCTCCTGTGGATCAAGGAGAAACGATGGGCCCTGCAGCCTGTCCTGAGCATTGGCAAACGTGGGCGCTCCTGAGTGTGGGAGGGGAAACCTACCTGTATACCGTCTGGCCGTGAGGGAAATCACCACGGAGGAACTTGAAAATGTGAATTCCGCAGATGCTGTAAGGGACTCCTCATTGTTAAATGCTGACATGCAATGAATTCCGGTTTGGGCTCATTTATTATGGATGGTTCACAGGCCCTTCGTCTGGGCAGGCAGGTACAAGGGAGGGAATATAGGAAGGTTTTAATCCAGTTTCAACTTTCCTCCCCGCAGCTTTTTCTCTTCAACTTCTATCCCTTTGTGCAACGGTTCATGCAGCCGCATCAGCGAGGTAAGCCTCTCCCTGCCTTTGTGTTTTGCACTCCCCTATTGTCCTTTGCACGGTTGGTCCCAAGCAGTGGTGTTTGTAGGACAGAGGTTGGACAAATAGGTTTGCCTTGTCAGGTGAGGAGGGTGTGGAAGGAGCAGGGAGGAGAACGGAGATGCAGTTTTGCTCCCAGTTGTGGTGGGCTATAAAGGCCCTGATTTCCAGAGCTCTGGAAACTGTGGACTGTATTTCTACAACAGGGAGCTAGAATTTCTAAAATCAGAATAGAATGGATCCCCTGAGTTCTGTGCATTGAATCAAGCACCTACAAGAAGCTGTCTGTAATTATTTAGCAAACCTTGTGCCTCTTAGTTTGCATAGCCCCTGTTCTGCACTGAAATAATGTTGCCCTCGGCCTTTCCAGACTATTGTACCCCTTTCAGGAGTCTGATTTGCTTTGCCCCCAGAGTTTCAGTGCACTTAAAAACCCCTTGCTTACAAAACCAGACAGAGTGACACTTTGGTATTTCTGTTGCTGGAAACTGGCTGGCTTTCTCATATTTACCATATAATTATAAAATAAATCAATTGGAATATAAATATTGTACTTACATTTCAGTGAATAGTATACAGCGCAGTAGACACAAGTCATTGTCCTAAACTTTGGTCGTAAATGACTTGGCTAGTATTTTGTATGTGACCTAGTGTAAAACTAGGCAAGTATATAGAGATGTGTTGATGTGCCCTCTGGAAGACCTCTGCGTACCCCCAGCGGGTCTGGGACAGACTTCTCAAAGTGCTCTTCAGTCCATTTACAGAGCTCAAAAACAGGTGGCCAGCTGATGGCCGGGGGTAAAGTTTGTGGTATCTGAGCAAGTGCTTTTTGTGGTGACAGAGGTCCTGGTTCTGCAAGGCCTCGAATGACTTCATGTTCTGTGTGGAGGTTCAGAGTGCTGTGTGTCTTGCAGGATGGGACATGGAATTAGAAGCTGGCTGTTCCTGCTTTCAGTGGCTTATTAAATACGTTGGTCTATTGACTATGGAACCTTTCTCTGTTTTCTACTTTTCTAGAAGTCACCAAGATCCTTCTTTTTGCGGCGCAAGCGTCTCATCATCTGGTGCCACCAGAGGTCAGGATCCTTCCAGATCTTATTAATATTGGGGGGAAAAAAGGCTCTATAGCTCTCTCTGCACGTTCAGCAGCTATGCCGAGAGAGGCAAAAATCTGCCCACTCAGGTTAAAAGTCCCAAACTAGAAGCGGTGTTGACTGCTGGGTATTGTTTATGAAGGGAAAAATGAAAACAGAGTGATTTCTCTGTGGTGTCTGCTCAGTTCCTCTGAGATTAGACCCTCTTGGGGCCAGGTGGGGTTGAAAAGCACATGCTGAGCTCAAACGGAACACTTGTGTTTGTCGCACTTGTTGTGCAAGTTCGACAGATAACGACTATCCGGGCCTCTTTGGGCTTTGCCCCAGTCATCCGTGGGTTCAGTCAACACCTGCCTTGCACCTCCGTGCGTCTTGCTGTTGTGGATCACTGCACTGACGTCTGTATGCGCACAAGCAGGCTGGTCGGACTCTGGCTTCCATAGCCTAGTTACTTGTGGCAAGGTGGCCTCAAGCACTCCTCAACCTCTCTCTCTGCAGCACTCTCAAACCCCTATTAAGTTTGCTGCTCCTCACGTTAATTTGTTAATTTGCTGGAGAATTTTCCTCTTTGGTTTGAAACACAGGACTAATGTGTTAATAAAACAAGATTAAGTTTATTAACAAAGATATTAATATTGAAGTGATGCCAAGAAGAAGGAATTGGGCTAAGACGCACTCCTCAACCTCTCTCTCTGCAGCACTCTCAAACCCCTATTAAGTTTGCTGCTCCTCACGTTAATTTGTTAATTTGCTGGAGAATTTTCCTCTTTGGTTTGAAACACAGGACTAATGTGTTAATAAAACAAGATTAAGTTTATTAACAAAGATATTAATATTGAAGTGATGCCAAGAAGAAGGAATTGGGCTAAGACGCAGTTACAAACACCCACAAATAAAATGCACTTCTAAGACTAACACCTTATTGAACTTATTGGAGTCTTTTCTACAACCTAAGATTCTCATCACAGTTGTTTTTCCTGCATGGCTGGCCAGTGCTTAGCCAGGACTCAATCACAGAGCCCGAAGTGCTCTGTGTCTTTGACTCTTCAGGTGAAGGATAACTTAGGGATCCTCTCTGCAATCCAGTACACTTTGGAAATGTATTTTTCTGATGTGTGTCCCCAAGATGAACTTCCTTTCCCCAGTAGTGTGGCCTCCATGCTGGCTTCACCCCTACTTGTAACTGTTATAGTGCAGTGCTCCTTCTGCAAATTCTCATACCAGCATCCATGGCAACACCTGCCCAGTGCAGCTATTTCCTTTTTCTTGAGAAACCTATTTATCAACTTCCCCTGACATGCTTGGTTAAAGAACACTTTCGTGCCCTATTTCTAGCAGATCTGGATAACTTTGCCTGTTAATAGTACGTACATCACACCAGAATGTCAATGATCAGCATGCTAGTTGTTTTCCAATGACCAGTACATGCCACCTTTTGTAGCAACATCATGACAACCTTGCGTGAAGTGTACTGTGCTGGTCAGGCCAGCTAGGACTCACTGCCGCAAACTAGGAACCTCCTTACCATCCGACACTGGGATGCTCAAACATTGATTCCCATATAGCACTTCTAATCAAAGTAAATCTCAAAGGCCTTTACAAAGAAGCACTGCAGCATTATATCCCCATTTTACAGAAAAGGAAACTGAGGCTCGGAGCAGTGATGTGACTTGATCAAGGACACTCGGCAGACCAGTGGCAGACCCAAGTCCACTGAGTCCCAATTCGTCACTGTATCCACTAGGTCTCATTTACTCCCTGTAGGAGGATTTGTGTCGCAAAAAATGCTCCAGGGATTAGAATGTTTCTAAATATAGCCTCTTAAAGGGCCAAGCCCCAAGCTTTGGGTAAGTTTGCCTTTTGTGAATATGACATTGTATGCAAATGAACATAACTACAATAAGAATATATGTTCACCTGGATCTACATAACTTTCTTCTTTTCTAGATCATCCAGTCAGTATTAATGACCGTAGCCAACAACTTTGTCACTGACAAGAATTCCGGGGAAGTTATGACTGTAGGGTAGGTACAGACATTTATCACAACTCAGACTGGGATGCCCAGGGAACCTGGGTTTCTAGAAACATTGTGCATGTGATAGAAAAGAAGTTGGTGTGTCTCTTAAAAAAAACCCACAAAGCCCTGGCTGGGATGATTGAGTCGGGATTGGTCCTGCTTTGGGCAGTGGGTTGGACTCCATGACCTCCTGAGGTCTCTTCCAGCCCTGGGATTCTATGAAAATCTTTCCTAATAGGAAATTAAAAAAAACACTTCGATTTTTCTAGAATTAATGCGATAAAAGAGATAACTGCAAGATGTCCTCTGGCTATGACTGAAGACCTGCTCCAAGACCTCGCCCAGTACAGATCTCATAAAGATAAAAGTAAGTTTAGCGCTTTCAAGATGGAAAAATTTGCTTTACGCCCCCCCCACCCCAAAAACAAAGAAACAAACCCTCATTTATGTTGTGTGTTCTGCTATCACCTCGTCATTGCCTATAGTGGAGTAAGTTGGAGTTGGAGAGTATTTCTCACTTTGGTGTCCTGCACCTCTGTCTGTTCCACATGTTCTCATGTGGGAGATGATAGAGTCAGAGTAGTGGGAGGGGAGAGAGGTGTAGTTGTCTAGTAGTTAATTGAACTGAAGCTAAATAAGGGCTTGATCTTTCGCAGTTTGATCAGTGGGAACTCTTTCAGTTGCTTGGTCATTGTAGGGGATGCGTGTTCATGACCTGTATGTATATTGATTGTGAGAGCTATCTTGGGAATATCTGGTTTAGTCCTGAAGAAACTTTTTAGAGGTAACAGATACACACAGATGTTGGTGGCTGTTTAAATTTTGACAGGATTTTTGGGGAGATATATCCAGCAAATAAACCTAGAGTACAGCAAAGATATTAGTTCAGTTGCAAGAAAGATGAGAAAGTAGGTGTTTAAAAATTAATGTACATAGTCAGTCATAAGCCTGTTGGTTCATAAGCTGACCTCCCCCAAGTTTAAAAAAACTTTTTAAAAATCGCAGTGATTGTTCATTAGCTGACACTATGTAGGCGGTTTGGAAACTTCTAGTCCCCCAGCTTGTCAGCATACGCCGCTGGCATGTTGGGACGTTTTGTTTACGTGGAGTGTCTGGAGCCTCTCCGCTCCCATTGGCTGCTCTTCGCCGTTCCCAGCCAATGGGGGTGGAGAGAAGCAGAGGTGGGAGCTGCGGGAAGCAGTGCAGGCCAAGGAACATGCTGGATCCCACTTCCCACTGCTCCTGTTGACCTGGAACAGCGAACAGTAGCTACAGGGAGCTGGGGGGCTCCATGCCCTGCATACACTCCAGGTAAATAAAACTTCCTGGGGTGCCAGCAGTTTTCCCTGCTGGGCTGGGAACTGAAGTTTGGTGAAACCCCCTCCCGTTAATTAAAAAAAAAAAGGAAAACACAATGACCTGTTCATAAGCTAACCGTTACTCTTTACTGCGTCATTTTTTACTAAAAAAGTTAGGTTTCTAATTGTGTATATACAGTAGGAGGTCCAGAGCAGAAGGGAAAGACATGGGTTGTCAAATAGAATAATGCTAAAAAGTTACTACTGAGAAAGATGTCAAGAAATGCAGTGCTTTTCCTTAAACCTTCCTCCCCAGCTACAGAACAAAACTTAGCTCGATGCTTTCTTTTTTGTTTGATCCAGATCCTGCTTTCTCCAAGGTGTTTGTTTATTTCTGGTATTTGTTTTGTAGATGTAATGATGTCTGCAAGAACTCTGATACATCTTTTCCGATCGCTGAACCCGCAGATGTTACAAAAAAAATTCAGGGTAAGTGAATGTGCATTAGTTTCAGGAGAATGATCTTGAAAATGAGCCTAAAATAACTTGAATGTCTCAAACCAGTGAACATGATTCATTGCATGTATATCTTGTACTTAAGAATATGTGTGTTGTTTTTTGGCCTGGAGAGATCACCTGTCCTAGTGTTCAGAGACCTGGATTCTATTTCTGGCTCTGCCACTGGCCTTCTAGATGACCTTGGGCAAGTCATCTCTTGCCTCCCCATCTGTAAAATCGGGATAGCGATGCTTTGTTGCAAAATGGTTTGAAATCTATAGATGAGAAGCACTAAACAAGGGTGTCTCTGCTCACTGCTAAATCCCATCCTTCATCTATGGAGAGGAGGTGTTCTGCAGTGAAGTGCTAGGCTGTGAAAATGAAATATCAGAAGATCTTCATCATTAATTTTTCTGTGGGACTAAAACCCAGACTTATAGAAGAAGTGGACGGAGGGATTATCAGCACCTTGAGGGCTGTGGATCTCTGTTATTGCAATACTTACTTATTTCAAATGTATAAAGCTGACTAGGACTAGTTCCAAGCTGCAGAAGTTGGATTCGGAGTTGGGGGAGGGGAGATATTGGGTGTATGCTTTGGCAGATTTCTCATGCTGGTGAGTCACTTCTTGTTGGGTGAAAAAACATCTTGCAACAGTGCAGCCTCCCTATTATCAGGAGCCACCAGCCCTGTTCTGGTGAGGATCCTGGCCAGACAAGTGCTGGGAATGAACTGACCCAGCTGTGTAGCAGCTGGTTGGGTCTGGGAGAGCACTGTCATATAACTACTGTGGAGGACTGCCGGCAGCCTTGTGGCCCTCCTAGGCAGGGTGGAAGTCCTGAGTGCTAACCTGTCAGAGACCAGGGGGCAGTCTGTGTAGTGAACAGTACTATTTATATTGCCTTGTCATGTTTCCCTGGTTAGTGATCAAGTCCATCAACTTTAAACCCCTTTTTTAAATGACTTGTTGGTGAAATTAACGAAAACAAAGAGCTACTTAAAGCATGTACTTTGTTTACTTTATAGGGTAAACCTACTGAAGCCTCAGTAGAAGCCAGAATCCATGAATATGGAGAACTAGATGCCAAAGATTATATTCCAGGAGCGGAAGTACTGGAAGTTGAGAATAAGGAAGCAGAAGAAGGAAAACTTGAGGAAGGTTGGTTAGGGTTGGGGGTTTTTTCCAACTTCACGTTAGTACAGAATTGCCCTTAGAATTGTAGTTACACTTAAAAATGGGGTGCAAATCTTTTGTTGTAATGCAAAAATCTAACCTGTTGTTTGATGCTGTAGTGTCTTGAGCAACTCTGGCTGTAAGAGCATTTGTCCAGGGAGGCAGCACAAATGCTGCCCTTGATTCAATGCAGTAATCCAGTTAAATTTGACATTGCCTCTGTGCTGTTTCATACAGTATGTGCCTCAGCAAGAGATAACAAAAGGATTTTATTGCTTGTGTGAATAATCTTCATGGAAAAGCTGGTCAAATGGTTTAAAAAATGCAGATGTTCTGCTCTCCCCGATAAACAACTGTTTGCTTATTAGGAAATGCAAAGAAAATACATTTCTCACTAGATAGTCCTTAGGATTTCACTGTTGACTTAAAAGCTGTCTCCAACATTCGTTACAGTCCCTGCTGAGAGAGGATTTGAATTGGATTAACGAGGGTGTTGCAGATCAGGATTGAGGTGTATTTTAAGGGATTTTGCAAGTTTACATGTATATGTGACTTGACCTGGGGCTGTTTCCCTGGGTTTCTGACTGCAGCAATTATCAAAACATGTGGTGCAGAAATGAAATCTTTTGGTACTCAGCAGGTAAGTATTTTCCGGCTTTTTTTTTTCTTACCTTCTTAACTTCCTACATCACTTACGTGTACTTGAGTCACTTAGAAAAATTAAGAAGAGCAGTACTCAGGCTGTTGAAAATAATAACATGACTTCTTCATATGAAGTGTGCTGCTTCCATATCTGTGTGAACTGGTTGGATGTTGAGAATGGTATAGAGTATCACTGTGTGCGTAGAAGGTGCCCCGGGAACTAGTACTAAGGACTAGCGCTCGCATAGTGCTTTTTTATCTAGAGCCTTTTGTTAACACACTTGGTAACTTTATAGAATTCCTTACCATTGGCTGCCATTACATCAGATTTACATGACAGCTTGTCTCCATTCCCAGTGGTCCTGGCATGTCCGTGTTCCACGTGCTGCCTTTGGTGTTATTTCTCAACTTTGGGGATAACTTGTTTATTATTAATGGTTTGATCCACTGAGAGCAACTGATAATGACAACACAACTTCCATTGGGGGTCTGATTCCTGTCACTGTGTTACTGTATATACTTGTAACACAGTGACAGTCTCGGTCATCAGTACATTGCCCTCTGTTTTAATGACTAGATGCCACAGGTGCCTGAAGTAACCTAGTTAGGGGCATGTTTTAACAGCTTGCATGTTGCCACAAGCTATTGCCAGTGAACTCGATCTGTTTTTTTTTAATATAAAAACACATATCTGAATCTCGCTGACACACAACTTTGTGGTCCATGGACTGGTTTTGTACAGCATCTAGCACTTTGGGGAGGCTATTTGAAATGTATAATTTTTAAATAGCAGTCTGTTATCTCGACAACCCTGTAATGCTTCTGGTGGTATATGGAGTAGGTGATTGAGAACTGCAAATGGAGGGCTTTTCAAAACAAAAATGTATTTAGCAGGTAGAGATCATATGGAAGGAAGTGAGTCCGGGATCAAATCTTAATGACTGTTTTTGTGTGTTCTATTAACTGTGTGCTCCTCTGCTCTGGTGCAGATGGATGGCAGAGTGCCAGTCTGAGCGAGGAGGACGACGATGAAGATGGGGAATGGATAGATGTGCACCATTCTTCAGATGAGGAGCAGCAGGAAGTAGTGAGTTGTGCAATCGCTCTTTAGCCTAAATATACAGGCAGTCCCCGGGTTACGTACAAGATAGGGACTGTAGGTTTGTTCTTAAGTTGAATTTGTATGTAAGTCGGAACTGGTACATATTGTAGGGGAAACTCTAGCCAAACATTTCTCCAGAGCTCAGTTTTATTCTCCCACACCTCACTTCCCTCAGTCCTTTATTCTCAAGCTGAGGTGTCTGCTGAGAGAAGCCGCTCCGCGTCTCCCTGGTCTGCTGGGGGGAAGCAGCTAGTGTGGGGTTGCCTCACCCCGTTTGTAAGTAGGGATCCGATGTAAGTCGGATCCATGTAACCCGAGGACTGCCTGTAAATGTGATTTGCAAAGATGGGGCTTGAGTGTTTACTGGCTCGCACCTTTGTATGCGGAGTGGGTGTGTAAACAGTAGCTAAGCAGATCAGTGGTGTGTTGCAGCCTTTTGCACAGGTGTAATTGAGTATCCATGGGTCACAGAAGGGGAGGATGTTGTATGTAAATATTTGCTCAAGGAAATTGGGCACATAACCCTCAGCCTTCTCCTAAACAAAGAGCAAGAGTGTTTTGACACATTTCTAATGCTCCTCCTTACCCCTTCCCTCTTCCATACACTTGAACAACCAATTTCCTGAAAAGCCTGGGAATTCCTTTATTACATGCTGTATGGGGGTCCCCCCATGGGCTGTGTTGGTAGTTGGTTACACCCACCATTGAACTTTTGCTATAGGCCTGAAGAAGGCCTTTTTGGTACGGCTGGTGCTATCTCCTGTCTCTGACTGTTGGAAACACTTTTTTAACGGAAGTAATGTAACTACAGGTTGAACCTCTCTAGTCCAGAGCTCTCTGGTCTGGAAACATCTGTGGTCTTGCCAAATGTCCACTTTTCATGGGCAGGGCTTGACCCAGGAAGAGCCGGGTTCGGGCAATCGGCGCATGCGCCGATCGCCGGACAGCACGGCTGGTGAGCGAGGCTCGCCGCAGTTTGGTGAGCCCTGTTTATGGGTGAGGCCAAGTTTCCTGCTGTCCCATAATGTTTATTCGTAGCCACCAGTCCTGCCCCTCAGTGTTCTGTGTTGTTGTTTAGCTCTAATTTACTCCTAAATGTCCTCTAAAGCCCAGTAAGAAGTGGAAGTGTTGATACTGCTGCTAGACAATATTAACTTCCTGTCAACCGGAAAATTCTCTGGTTCAGAACCACTCAGGTCCTGAGGGTGCCGGATTAGAGAGGGTCGACCGGTACTATGTTTTCACTGTTCTTATCTTCTGCCCTGACCAGCAATTTTTCCTTATTATAAGGCGAGTCCCATTTCTTTCCATGGACCCTCGCAGGTGGCGAGAAACAGGCCTTGCCTTTACAGTAAGACTAGTGTGTACAAATAAACCACACAAAACCACTGCTTAAAGACCCTGATGCTCCTCACTGTTGTCTGCATTTACAGGCAGAGAAGATCAAAAACATGCCCATAGAGGAACAGAAAGCCAAAGCAGCAGCTGTTAGCACGAGCCGGGTTCTAACTCAAGAAGACTTCAAGAAAATACGCCTGGCCCAGATAGCGAAAGAACTCAACTCTGCACCTGGCAAAGCTGCCAAGAGAAAGAACATTGAAATGGACAGCAATGAGGAGCACAGGTAGAATACAAAAGTCGTTTTCACTCCTGTGGTTTAATGAATTTAATTTATACGGCAGTAGCACTAAGGAGCCTGAATTAGGGATTTCAGCGTGTAGTTGTGTACACGTTAGCCTAGGGCTACTCAACTTTGGAAGCCCCGGGGACCACAGTGATACTGAGAACATATTCCGAGGGCCGCAACTTAAGTGTGGCTGCATATACAGGCAAATATATACGCAAACAGCTTCTTTCACACTGACGGGCATGAATACAAAGATTAAGGGAAGATTACACAACACGCAGGCCCCCAATTAAGTCAGTTCTGCTGAGATTAATAAAAGGCAATATTTACCCGATTTCCACCCAATGAGACAGCACATTTAATGAGCAATGGCCGTCCAGGAATTTTACTGCTAAAATGAATATCCACAGAAGACCATTATTTTGACTCCCTGTTGTGGAGCGTGTTCCTAGTGGAGGCCGTGTTCAGATGATCCCACCTGCGGGCTGTGTGTTGAGCCCTGCGTAAACCCAACCTGCAAACAAATAGGCCGTGGACCATGTATGGCCCATGGGCCGCATGTTGAGTAGCCCTGCATTAACGGATAAGCCTGGGCTTATTGGTTAATTTTATCAGCTACACGCGTTTCCCCACTCCTTGCTGCCTCTGGGAGAGAGCTGGAGTTGGTGTTGTGGGGAGCTGGCTTTTAAGCTGGTCCCCCCATGAGCATTGGATCCTCAGCGCCACCTGCCCCTCTCCTCCCTCCCCCCCCCCCTCCCCGTCTTAGCGCTTCTGCTTCTGATAGAGCCAGCAGTATGGAGGGTGAGGGAGGGAGGCAGGCGGGAGCCTGTATATGCAGAAAGCCAGTTTCCTGTGTGTATTGGCTCATGCAAGAAGCCACTTGCCCCCTGTACGCTGCTGCGGGGGGGGGGGGGGAGGCGATACACGTGGGGAACCAGCTTTCAAGCCAGCCCTCCTTGCATGCTGGGTCCATGGAGCTGGCTGTATTCCCCGCACTGCTGCCTTTATTAGAGGCATGGGCTAGGACCTCTTTGGAAATGCACAATAAAAAGGCAGCCCTCCTGCCAAACCGCTTCCAATCTAAGCATGAGAGGAGACAGCCGGTGACTATAGGAGGGTTAGTACCAGGGAACAATGAGACGCTGCTTGTCGGTTTGACAGGCCATGGTCTCAGCACATGGCTGCCTGTTGCTGAAGTTTTTGCAGATACGGTGTTTAAAAAGGGATTTGAAGGAGGACAACGAGGCAGCTGTGCAGATATTTGTGGGTTGTAGGGCCCGTACATCAGGGCAGCCTGGGAGAAAGCACGAAGGTGCTTGTGTGAAAGTTCAAGGTGTGGGCAATGAACTGAGAATCCGTCTCGACAGCAAATCAAGAGTGGGGTAGAGCAATGCATGGGGGGATTGTGATTGATGCCAGACAAAATATTTTCTTTATTTTGCAGGGGAGAGTTGCTTTCGCTCAGAGATATTGAGCATCTACATAAGAAGCCTAAATCAGATAAAGAAACAAGACTGGCCACAGCCATGGTGAGGAGCCGTGATATCTCAGATCCTCTTAGCAGATTTTCAAGATGTTCAGGCTTTGCAACCTGGAGAATTACAAGAACACATTTTGGGGGGGGGGGAGGTTTAAAGGGCTCAGGCATGAATGACAGCATGGCACCTGATTGCCATTTGTGCTTTTGAAAATTGCTCCCTCTTGGGTTCTTTGCCATCCTGGCAGACGAACGGCTAACTTCAGTTCCATGTCTCCGTGGCTGATGCTGGGAATTTTAAAACAACATTTCAAAAGATCTAGTTAAACCGCCATGCATAAAGCACATAAAACAGCCCAAGAAAGCATGTGCATCTGCGTTTGCAGCTCCAGGAAATGAAAATGTGCAGGGGCTAATGGCATTTCTACAGAGGTCAGTTAAATGGTGTCACTTGTGAGAGACGAAGATAACGCTGTGGGCTTTAATTGGAGGTTTTTTCCCCCCTCTCTAGGCTGGAAAGACAGACAGAAAAGAATTTGTGAGAAGGAAAACAAAAATGAATCCATTCGCCAGCTCCACGAACAAAGAAAAGAAAAAGCAGAAGAACTTTATGATGATGAGATACAGTCACAATGTCCGGACAAAAAATAAACGTTCCTTCAGAGAAAAACAGGTCAGTATTTAATACTCTGCTCATTGAGTAATGCGGAGACTGGTTGGGGTGATGTATGCAACAAACTTTAGTTATGGTATTTCATCTAAAATAAGTGCTGTCGAGCGCCCTAGAAGTTTTGTACTTAACAATTTCTCATGTTAAAGCTTAGTTCAAGTGAACATGTAACAGGCTGCTTCTTTTAAACTAATGATTGCCTGCTAACCAACCCAATAAAAAGGCCCTTCTGCCGTCTGTACATCCTTTAGCCTCGTCGTACTCAAATGCCTGGACTCTGTAGCAGTCCCAGATGTGGGCTCTTGCACCCAGTGGGTGGGTTGCTTGTGTCCGGGACCTGTCTTACAACTGGCTTGGACTTGTCTAATAATTTGCTTGGATTTCACTACACGATTTGATGTTAGTGTTGTAGAATATGGGAATTTAATTTTAATACAGCATTGACCCCTTAGCATAGGCAAGCTCAAACTTTGGTTATACTGCCATCAGGACACCAGTGTGACAGAATACGCTGCCTTTGTGTGGTAGAATTGCCTTTTGTGACAGGCCTTTTAGTTCATCCTTTTCTTTTCCTTTGGGCTCATCTTCACACCTTCATTTCACAGTCACCGTCTTCCTAGTTATCTTGTTCACCAGAGACAGATCTGTCCTCCCCTTCATGTTGGCTGCATATGCTATGTCTCTGATAAAAGACGCTTCTTGAAATCTCCGCTGGTTTGGTAAATCTCAAGGCCAAAATGTTGCCAGTTATTATAACATCGCTGTACTTACTCAGCTTTGAGCGTGTCCAAGATGATCCTGCCTTGTGGCTGTCTCTCCAAGCTCGTTCTTTGGGAGAGCATATTTATCGACTCCGTTATAAACAAAAGTTTGTTGGTAGGCTTTGGGGTGTAGTGAGTATTTTAGTAGCCCCGTGGTCCATTTCTGGCTTTTTATTCCCTGCTAAGAACAGCCAAACAATGTTGAGAACAGTCCGTCAGAGACTTGTCTTTTCAAACCAGATGAAAACAGTAGATGCTGTTTTATTAAATAACATGATCTTGGACCAGCACCTTGAAATTCGCTCTTTGCTTGGTATCTTCTCCATTTCTAACAACTGTGGGGTCTCGGCTGACCCCATCGACTAAGTCATGTGCCAATCCTATCTGCTCTTACAAAACACAAGAGGTTCGTTTTATAAATGGACAGCTGAGGGACTTGTCAGCTCATTAATCCTCTGTGCTTGCATTGCGGTGCTGATGTGTCTGAGTTTGGTAGGCAGCCAGATTACCTCAGATCTCTGCGAAAAGCCAAACTAGCAAGCAGGTTAGTGATTGAACTAGCCTCTGTTCGGAGCGGGGGGGAATTAAACGAACTAAAATTTGATCTTGTTTAAAATCCAGAGTTTAAATTCTCATTTTAAATGTGGGATTCAGTTGGAGGGGGCGGAAATCATTTAATAGCATTTTTAATCACACTGTTAGACAGCAAATCGAATACCAATTAAAATATATTTAATATATGGATGTTTTTCTACATTTGCAGATATATTGATTTCAGTTACAACACAGGATATAAAGTATACAGTGCTCAGATACCTTATTTTTACTACAAATTATTTGCACTGTAAAACCTCTGAAAGAAATGGTATTTTTCATTTTCCTCATACAAGTACAGTCTCTTTATTGTGAGTGCAACATACACATGTAAAGTTTTTTTTTTTTAATATAACTGCGCTCAAAAACAAAACTTTTTAGAGCCTACAAGTTAAAGCATGAAGTGGCCTATAAATGTTCAGTTCTATCTATCTATCTATCTTTTTTTTATAGTACAGGTTGGACCTCCGTGGTCTGGCACCCTCAGGACCTGACCAATCCTGAATGAGGGATTTTTGCCAGACCAGAGGAGGTCCCCTGCTACTGGCCTCCCAGCCTGCTGCTCCTCCCTGTTGCTGCCCCAGCTGGGGAGCCCCGTCCCTTGGGGGGGGGGGAATCTATGGCCGCCTCTGGTCGGCTGGGGCTCTGTGGCCGCTGTCAGACCTGCTGGAGGATCCCCAGCCGCTGCTGGCCCTGCTGGGGGTCCCCAGCCCTAAGGGTTCCCAGCTGTTGGCCCCCCTACAGCCAGCATGGCTAGGGATCTGCCTGGACAGGGATCCCCAGACTGAGCCTCCCCAGCAGCTGATGGCTGGGTTCTGTGGTCCATTAACATCCATGGTCCTGCTGGATCACGGCTGTTGCCGGACTAGCAAGTCACAGATCTGAGAGGTTGAACCTGTACAAATGTTTGCAATAAAAATAATATGAAGTGAGCACTGTACGCTTTGTATTCTTTTATCATTTAAATCGATGTAGAAAACCTTTAAAAATATTACATGGGAATTGGTATTCTGTAGTTTAACAATGAGGACGTGTTGTCAAAACATCCCACTGTTATGCAACGTAATTATTTATTTTTGTATTCTAGCTGGCATTACGAGATGCACTTTTGAAAAAGAGAAAAAGGCTGGTGAAATAATGTTAAAACAACAAAGGAGTGGACTACTTAATACTTTCCTGTGGATGCAGTAATAGTCCTGGAAACAATTTTTATATTGGAAAGTACAGAATCACTGTACTGAAGAACAGAATGTCCATTGCATATAACTCTGAATAGAACTGATGGACTATAATGCTGCAGCACCAAATGACTCTCATTTGTACTTGTTGGAGACAAGAGACTTCAATACACCAGAAGATCTTGAATTATAGAAGCACCCCACGAGGGGAGGGCTAACTATAACTTACTTTACTGAATATAACTTATTTCGAGTTAATTGCTATTTACAGGGTCATAACCAATCTGAATTGCATTGTTAAATGTTTTACTTGAATCATTCAGGTACTAGGTAAGTAATTGGACAAAAAATGTAAAATCCATGAACAATAACTTGTACATCGATTAAAACCTATGTGCCTTTCATAAGCATATAAGGACTTCTCTTCTAAGTGACACCACATTTGAATGGTTAACTTTCATTTCCTGTTTTTAGAAATAAAGGTGGAGGCCTGAGATAATATCACAGGTTCTTCTATGCTTGAAAACAAGAACGGTTAGTGGAAGAATGGGATAGGCATGATTCTGTTGTAAAACAATGCCCCTCTCCTGAAATTGATGCCAAGGAAGGGCAATGATTTGCCAGTACTGAGTCAATTGCAGAAGGAGGCCTAAATCTGTTGGAAGATGAAAGGAAGTGCGTGTTTGTACCACTCCCCTGCTGCTAGCAGCTCATTAATTGCTGTTTTGTAACATTTTGCCATGCACTGAAATAATAATTTGCTTCTTTCTGCCACAGTTTCTCCCTCTCATCTTTGTCCTTTATTCACTACCCCCACACACTTGCTTTTCCCTTTGTTACCCTCTACAAACATTTAACACTACATTTCAAAACCAGCTGGATTGATTTTTTTTTTTAATTATTCCCGTTTGCTCTGCATTTTTAAAGTTTCTGCTATAGAAAACATAAGCAATAGTTAATGCCTTCTTGGTACAGTACACACACCATCTTTTGAGTGTTGTCAGACAGCCTGAGGCTATAGCTGTAGCTATGGGAATGGTTGCCTTGGTTCCATTTAGAAATACGTGCACAGATGCTGGAGCAGTGCCACTGGGTATCATAGAATCATAGAATACTAGAACTGGAAGGGACCTCGAGAGGTCATCGAGTCCAGTCCCCTGCCCTCATGGCAAGACCCAGTACCGTCTAGACAAGCGGTTCCCAACCTTTTTGAGCATACGGACCCCTTTACAATCTATTAACATTTCACTCCTGGGGGAGAGAGGGAAAAAAAAAAAGAAAGGGGGAAAGGAAAAGAAAAGAAAGGATCAGGCCTACTGTGGTGGGTTTCGATCCTTATTTTTAAACATTTCATGGACTCCCCCCCGCCCCCCTCCCCAGGCTGTACGGTCATGGACCACTGGAGTCGGCAGACTACTGGTTGGGAACCACCAGTCTAGACCCTTCTTGATAGATATCTATCTAACCTGCTCTTAAATATCTTCAGAGATGGAGCTTCTACAACCTCCCTAGGCAACTTATTCCAGTGTTTAACCACCATGACCAGTTAGGAAGTTTTTCCTAATGTCCAACCTAAACCTCCCTTGCTGCAGTTTAAGCCCATTGCTTCTTGTCCTATCCTCAGAGGCCAAGGAGAACAATTTTTCTCCCTCCTTGTGATACCCTTTTAGTTACCTCTCAGTCTTCTCCTTTGCAAACTAAACAAGCCCAGTTCTTTCAGCCGTCCTTCGTAGGTCATGTTCTCTAGATCTTTAATCATTCTTGTGGCTCTTCTCTGGACTTTCTCCAATTTCTCTACATCTTTCTTGAAATGTAATGCCCAGAACTGGACACAATACTCTAATTGAGGCATAATCAGCGCAGAGTAGAGCAGAAGAATGACTTCTCGTGTCTTGCTCACAACACTCTTGTTAATGCATCCCAGAATGTTTGCTTTTCTTGCAATAGCATCACACTGTTGACTGATATTTAGCTTGTGCTCCACTATGACCTCTAGATCCCTTTCTGCAGTACTCCTTCCTAGACAGTCACGTCCCATTCTGTATGTGTGAAACTGATTGTTCCTTCTTAAGTGGAGTACTTTGCTTTTATCCCGATTAAACTTCATCCTGTTTACCTCAGACCATTTCTCCAGTTTGTCCAGATCATTTTGAATTATGACCCAATCCTCCAAAGCAGTTGCAACCCCTCCCAGTTTCATATAATCTGCACATTTAATAATCACACTCTCTATGCCAATGTCTAAATTGTTGGCGAAAATATTGAACGGAACCGGTCCCAAGACAGACCCGGGCGGCACTCCACTTGTTATGCTCTTCCAGCAGGATTGTGAACCATTAATAGCTACGCCCTGAGTACGGTTATCCAGCCAGTTATGCACCCACCTTATAGTAGCCCCAGCTAAGTTGTATTTGCCTACTTTATTGATAAGAATATCATGTGAGACCATATCAAATGCCTTAGTCAAGTCTAGGTATACCATGTCCACCCGTTTCTCCCTTATCCACAAGACTCGTAATCTTATCAAACAAACCTATCAGATTGGTTTGACACGATTTGTTCTTTACAAATCCATGCAGGCTGTTCCCTATCACCTCATTTTCTTCCAGGTGTTTGCAGACGAATTCTTTAATTACTTGCTCCATTACCTTTCCTGGTACAGAAGTTAAACTGACTGGACTGGTCTGTAGTTTTCCGAGTTGTCCTTATTTTCCTTTTTTATCCATGGGGACTGTCTTCCATGCCTTGTCAAAGATAACTAAAGGCTCAGCTACCTCCTCTACCCGCTGGACTATTTTAGGGTGCATTTCATCAGGGTTGAAGTTTTTTCCATTTTATATTCAGCCCAGTTTGGTTCCAGGGCTTGCACCTGTCCCCCCTCCTGGTTCCAGCCGCCCCCCTTTTGGAAACACATCCCTGCAGCCCTAGGAAAGGCGCTTGCTGAGGGAGGCTGAGGGACACTTGGCGGGAGAGCTGGAGTTACATGGTGGACTATTTTAGGGTGCATTTCATCAGGGTTGAAGTTTTTTCCATTTTATATTCAGCCCAGTTTGGTTCCAGGGCTTGCACCTGTCCCCCCTCCTGGTTCCAGCCGCCCCCCTTTTGGAAACACATCCCTGCAGCCCTAGGAAAGGCGCTTGCTGAGGGAGGCTGAGGGACACTTGGCGGGAGAGCTGGAGTTACATGGCCTCAAGCAGCCCCGCCCCAGCCCTGCTTGCCGCAGCTGCTGCCTTTCTCCCAAGGGGGGGG